TTACCCGAGGCACTTAGGGGGCTTCTGGAAATTTCCCAGTTTCTCCAGACAACAACATAGTGAGATAGACCAGGCCAGAAAACATAACTCAGCCAAGGTAACGTTAAATGATTAAACCAGGGATTCAAACCCTCGGAGTCCTAATCTAAGAACTGGCCTACATGTTCAGCAGAAAGAGGTGGCAATGAGTACTGAGGGGGTAGGGTTGTCACCTCCAGGTTGGGAAATTCCTAGAGATTTGGGGGTGGAGCCTGGGGAGGGGAGGGACCTCAGCAGGGGCCAATGCCACAGAATCCACCCTCCAAAGCAGCTATCTTCTCCAGGGAAACTGATCTCTATAGTCTGGAGATCAGTCGTAATTCCGGGGGATCTCCAGGCCCCACCTAGAGGCTGGCAACCCTATGTGGGGGTACAGCTGATGGAACAACTTCGTACTACAAGTGCGGGATTACCTTTTTCAAAGTTACCCAGCATTAATAATTCCCTGTAGACAGAACACTGGTGTATCACGTCAAGGGGATGTACTAGTGGATGCAGGGAGCCAGAGTGGTATAGCGGGTAAGAGCGATAGACTCTAATCTGGAGAACCGGGTTCGATTCTGCCATCCTCCACTTGAAGCCAAGCTGGGTGACCTTGGGTCAGTCACAGCTCTCCCAGCCCCCCCAAAATAAGCCTAGCTCGCTGCATAAAAAAGAGCTAGCGCATCAGGCTGCCAGACAATACTAGGATCTCCTGGCTATACCACACACAATGCCGTATGATGATTTAATTTTAATTTTTAATAGTGGATGCAGCTTAACTTTGAGTTTGCTTCACCCAGACTTTAACAAAAAAGAAAATTCCGTGGACAAATGCCGCTCAGGCAAAGGAGAGGCATCCAACTTAGCCCATTTTCAATAGCACGGCAGGAATAAATGACAGGTTTTAACAGTCAAGTGAGGGCACTTTTACAGCGGCTACTTTGGAGGCTGCAACGTCGCCAGAACAAATTCCACTGCTGCCTGGAGCATTTAGATGAAAGAGAGAGATTGCTGCTCATCAAACTCCAAATGACTGATCTCACTTCTTTTATTTCCCGCTAGGGAAACGTAGGCATTGAGCAACACAATGGTAAAACAGAAAGAGAGAACATGATGGCGGAGGGAGCAGTATTAGAACTTTTGCACAATGTTACAACGTTCTATAAAATAGGTACGTGCTCATATGCAACTCACCATCTAAGAGCTTCCCGTGATACACGGCCAGTCCTGCAACTCGGCCAATAAAGGTGAAGTAAGACAGATGGTCCTCGTTACAAAGGCCTGAATTTGGGTTGATCTGCAGAGTGTAGTTATCTCTTGAAGGGGGGAAAAAGCGAAAAGCAAAAAAATAGGCATCACGGACATCAGAGTTACTGCCAAACAATCAGCACAATATCCCTCCAGCAGAATTTCTCCAGCGATATCATTTATACGGCAGAAATGCATCTGTGATGGAGATGACCACAGCGGGATGAAGGCCTTGGATCAGGATCCCTGATCAGGAAATGTTCAGGAGGGCATTGAAAAGGAAATAGGGATGTAGTAAAGTGGAATTCTGGTGAAGTGGCAAGGTCGCTTTTTAATCCACTGTGTTGGGCCTAAAGAGAATCAGGGATGTAAGAGTTGCAAATTTCGGACATTGGTACTATAGTTTTTATTTCATGGTTCGTTAAGGGTGCCATCTAGTTTTATTGCTAAGATAAAGACGCTAAGATAAACTCTCCTTCCCCCAAATCTCAATATACATAGTTTGAAATTCATAGAGAATGTTCGTGAATTTGCATGGACGTCCATGTGAGTTTTGAGGCAAAGCACCCTGTTTCCTCCCAAGGGTTAATGTGAATACTAGTGGGCCTACTCTAGCTTGCAGGTGGCTGTAATTGGGCCTCCCTACCTACACCATCCTTATTTCTTTCAAGGCCAGAGTCAAGAATGTGGTAATTAGCTCTTTCTGGGGACTTATGGTCCCACTAGTTGGGGGGGGGGGGGAGAGATAGGAGTGATGTTGAAATATTCTAGAAGGTTCCAGTGAGTGTGTGGCCTGATTGGATTTGGAATATCACCTGATGCCAGATTAGGGTTGCCATCCACCCAATAGGGGCAGGGTTCCCACGCTTTTGGGGGCCCCTTGCAACGCGGCCTACACGTTGATGTCACCTGTGGGTGACTCCCCCAGCGAACGCGGTAAGGACCTGGCAACCCTATGCCAGATGGCAAGAGACTATAATTAAGCCATAGACCAGAGAAAAGCCATGTTAACTTTGTGATTTCACAGGACAGAGGCCCTGACTATGCCAAGCCTCATTTTAATTATCAGATACATAGAAAATGCTTAAGCATCTACCTTGGATTTGGGTCTTGATACTTGCCAGACTCTCCCCCTGCCTGGGGGGGGGGTTGCGTTGGGCTGATAAATCACCCAAACTGTCAAAAGGAGCTCCCGTCCACCCTGCGTCAAATTGCCATTTTCCCCCAACCGGAAGCCCTCAATATTTAACAAAACTTTCATATATTTTACCAAGGTCTAGTTTCTTGTGTATGTGTAGCGTTGAGGACTCATGGCTCAGGCACTGCCTGCTTGCCCAAGAGGTGGTGACTCAGAGGGACCCAGATGGGGGTCCTTGACACATGATCCAGATGAAGTCCAAATCCCATAATATGCCATCTGTTTTAATGCAGCATTAATTTATCACCTGTCAAAGATGGTTTTGGACTGCCATTGGCATCTTAGCCAGTTAAACTGAGCAGAAAATGGACCATCAATGAAAACTGCCTCTCTCAAAATCCTCCATGAAATTTGTGGTGGAACAAAATAATTGAATTGGCTGATCCTAAGATTTGGGATCTGCTCAGAAGTTCATTTTGGGGAGTGGGGGGCAGTCAACACGGTGGCAGCAAAAATGAGTCTGAAGCTACTTCTGTCCTCAACATGAATCTGAACATGATCTGCCTATCTTTTAATTAGGGTTGTCAATCCCCAGTTGCGGCTTGCAGATCCCCCTTTATTACAACTAATCTCCAGACAATAGAGATTAGGGATGGGCATGAACCAGAAAAATGAGGTTCATGTCAGTTCACTGCCGAACCACGAACCAAACCACAAACTGAACTGAACAGGGAGATTCGTTTAGAAACCAAAGTGGTTTGTGGTTCATGGCATGCGCAGGAGACGGTCTTGCACTTTCGGGGGGATTTAAACATCCCCCCGAATTTTTTTTAAACTTTTTGTATTTTTGTGCACACGTGGGGACTGGCCCACGTGTGCACAAACCTCCCCCGGCCCCCCAGCTGCCCCCTCCGTGCTGTGATCTCCCGCTTTTACCACTGATCTCCAGCTGACAGAGAACAGCTCCCCTGGAGAAAATGGCTGCTTCGAAGGGTGGACTCTATGGGATTGGACCATGCTGAGGCCCCTCCCCTCCCCAAACCCTACCCTCTCCTGGATCCAACCCCAAAGTCTCCAGGTATTTTCCAGCCCAGACCTGGCAACCCTAGAGAAAATACTTGCACTGGAGGATGGACTGTATGACAATGTACCCTGCTGAGGTCCCTGCCCTCCACCAACCCTGCGCTCCCCAGGTTCTACCTCCAAATCTCCATGTATTTCCCAACCCAGAGCTTGCAGCCCTACTTTTAATACAGTGATGAGGAAGATCCTATATTCAGCTTAGAAACCAAAGTGGTTTGTGGTTCATGGCATGCGCAGGAGACGGTCTTGCACTTTCGGGGGGATTTAAACATCCCCCCGAATTTTTTTTAAACTTTTTGTATTTTTGTGCACACGTGGGGACTGGCCCACGTGTGCACAAACCTCCCCCGGCCCCCCAGCTGCCCCCTCCGTGCTGATTTAGCGATCCGCACGGAGGGGGCAACTTGGCTATTAGATATATAGACTAGGTTCTTGAGACACCAATCAATAAAATGCTTGACTAGTACTAGACATAATGCCACGCAAGGCTCCAAATTCACAAAATATGGGGAGAAGAATGCCTTCCCTCTTCAGGGGGGCCTTATGTTATTTCTCTCCCGGGCCAGCATCCTTGGTGATGATGACTGGCCTTCCTTTCCCCTCCAATTTCACCAGGTCTTATCCCAGGCTTCGATTGAGTGTCTGGGGATTGTATGCCCATTGGGAAAATCCCAACAAGGCCTCAGGCCTCGAGGTAAGAGAGCGGGAGACTGCACTGAGGCCTGTAGGCCGCTCCACACCAATCAATAAAAGGCTTGACTTAGGACTTAATGCCATGCCAGCCAGAAAATTCACAGAAATATGGCATCATGTCAGGATTGCCAGCGGCTATGCTTCTGTGACAAAACCAGACCCACAATACAGTACTAGACAGCCATTCCACATTGCTGTGGTTTCATTCCTAATAGCTTCTGATGCATTGACCTTCATTCACTGCCCACACAAGCCCTGAAAGAAAATCATTGCAGCATTGAACAGGCCAGGCTGTTTTTTTTAAAATCCATTGTCTCAAGCGTAATTTCCAGCTTGCTGAACACCTATATGGAAAGTGATATAGGTACTGACGCCCTGCGTTGGCACGCTCGGCCAATAATAAATAAATCACTCTCTTAACAAACTTGTTCCAAATTAACTGCTAGGCAGAAAGTGCAATTAAGTGGGTTTAAATAATGACTTCTTCACCCAGGGGAGAAGCAGTTATAATTAAGACTCCTTTATGCAGGTGGGTTTTTCCCCCTTTGTAAAGGGCAGTTGTAATGGGCAGAAATGTAATTTACTCCTGCCTTTAATGCCAAGAAGTTATTGAGCGGCTGCAACAAATCAGAAACCTTCCCAAAGTAGTACAGGTGAAAAATTAGGCCATGTTTAATTACAAAGCTGCAAAGAGCCTATCAGTCAGCGGCTCACACAAACACATCTGAAACTGCCTTACACTGAATCAGACCATCGGTCCATCGAGGTCAATATGGTCTACTCAGACTGACAGCAGTTCTCCAGCATCTCAGGTAGAGGTCTTCCCCATCACCTGCAACCAGATTCTTTTTTAACTGGAGATGGCAGGGACTGCACCTTGAACCTTCTGATTCCGTGAACTTAGGCAGATCATGAGAGGGAGGGCAGGAAAGGTTGCATCAGTGCTTAGTTCTCGTGGCCCTTTCTTACATGCCCAGGGAAATGCCGATCGCCACTTTGGGGTCAGGAAGCAATTTTCTCTGGGCCTGTTTGGCCAGGGATCCTGGAGGTTTTCTTGCCATCTTCTGGGTATGGAGCCGGGATCACTGGGTGTGTGGGGGGGGAGGTAGTTGTGAATTTCCTGCATCGTGCAGGGGATTGGACTAGATGGCCCTGGAAGGCCCTTCCAACTCTATGATTCTATGATAAGCAGACGCCCTACCACTGAGCCGGAGCGGCTCTCTGATTCAAATGGAAGCACAGAGTGGCTTACAGTCAGCATGCCTTCGCTAACAACCATCCGCTGTCCCAGCTCTTCTGCAATGTTGACCAGCAACAGTGCTGTGGCTGGGCTGGACTGGACTTGCATCCTGAGCCCATCTCAGCCAACGAGAGCATGATATTAGCTACAATGCAGATGCCTGGGAGCATCTTGTGAACGAGAAGGCTGATGGGGTGCTTGGTGTGTATAGAAATAAATGGAGAGAGAGGAATCAGAATACAGAATGCTGAGGGTTCCACTGCTGTACAGGGCAGTCTCAGAGGGCAGTGTGATTTCATTGGGCAATTAGGTTAGACGCCCATGCGTAGCTGCACATGCATGTCTATATATCTGGAAAACTTTTTTTTTAATCAATAGGATGTCATCGTAACTGCTGTCCTATTGAATGAAATCGCCCCCTCGCAATGTGTTAGGAGATGCTGCCACCGCTTAGCTGATGAAACTCAGACAGGCAAGGGTGCGTCTTCTCACCCAAATCTAAACATATTAAACTGCCTTGCCATTAATGAGTCACACCGTTGGTCTATCTGAAGTAGTGCCAAATGGCAACAGGTCCCAATCAGAGGGTGCTTCCACATTGGCCCTATGATTCTATTTATGTCATGTTTTCTCCCAAAAGTTGAGTTGTAATTCTTGCTCTTCATCAGAAGGTGTCACTCTAGGACAGTGTTCGTATATCAGTGCTATAATAGCACCTAATGGACAAATTAAAGGAGGTGACCAATGAATGCAGCAAGCCATTCGAACAGCCAATCCGAAGCAAAGTTAGCGATGGGCTTAATTGTGCCTATAGTTTTAAAAAACCCTTTGCAGTGAAGCAGATACATTATCATTGAACACGTGCATTCTTTTGGATCTGAATACAAACAATTTATGGAACACAGAGAATATAAACTGCCCCACTGTGGGTCTTTGACTAATAAAAGAAAACATTTCATGCGTAATGCACTTACGTTGCTGAATATTCAAAGAGACCATAATATGGGTTGAACATTTCCTTGGACAACAGGAAGAACCATTCCCTGGCCACGCCTCCATAATCAAGACCCTTTTCTAACTCAAACTCTATCCAAAGCCTGGCTTTTAATACATCCGGTCTCTTCACAGACATGATTCTTCTATACGATTCTTCAAAAATATTATTTCTGTGGAGTTTCATCTCAAATCTGTTTGGTATATCAGCCTTGACAGTGGGAAGAGAAACAGATTTCACACATTGGTCTGAATGCATTTCAGTTTTTCATTAGATGCTGTTATAAAAAAACATTATTCCAGCTGAGTCACATCTTTCTACCCTTCCTATAGAGCAGCCAAATATTTAAAAATATTCTATTTCTTTACATTGCCCGCAAGGCCAGCTCCTTGGTGGTGGCTTTAAAAACATAAAGCTTACTGCTCATTGAATAAAATCATTTTCTTGGCAAAGGAAGAAAAGATAGAAGCAGAATTCTTTTCAGCATTTTTAGGGTATTTTTGTTCCAAAGTGCCCCCCCCCCCTCAAAAGGAGAGAGAAGTTAATTTCAAGCAACCAGGACAATTTAGTTCATGATGCATAATCATGTATAGTCAAAGAATCAGAGCTGGGGAAAAGGCCATATGTCCCAGCTCTGGAACTGGAGTTTGGTCTAGTGGTTAAGTGCCCGGCTCTAATCTGGGAGAACCGGGTTTGATTCCCCACTCCTCCACTTGCACCTGGCTGGATGACCTTGGGCAAGCCGTAGTTCTGATAAGAGCTGTTCTTGAAAAAAAGAGCAGTTTCTGTCAAGAGCTCTCTACCTCACAGGGTGTCTGTTGTGGGGAGGGGAAGGGAAAGGAGTTTGTAAGCCGCTCTGAGACACCTTCAGGTAGTGAAGGGCGGGGTATAAATCCAATCTTCTTCTTTTTCTGTGTGATAGACCATCCCTGGCACATGCTGGTGCATATCCAATGTCCTAACAACCTTATTGCTAAAATATCCAGGTCCCAAACATGTAGCTCTGATGTAGGGCATGCTGATTTCAACTGAATTTCGGGCCAAGGCATGACAGATGGCGGAATTCTCCGACCTGAACTCTTGCTGTATAATAACTTGACTCTACAATGCAGCTTCAGAGAGGTCCCATTTTGATTGGGGCAGTGGCTCTGCGGGAAAGGGCAGTAACTCTTCCATTCGAATTCTTCCCTAAGCTGCCTGGGGTTTTTTTTTGTTTGTTTGTTTTGTTGGTGGGTATTTGTGTGTGTGTGCTTGCATGCCTGGAAGTCATGGTGACTTCTGGCAGCCCCTGCTGGGGGCTTGGACATTTCTCAGAGAGGTGGCTTGATAGCCCGGCTCTGTGTCCCAAGCCCTGATATTCCTTGGTGGTTTCCCTTCCAAGTACTTGCCGTGCTTGAGCCTGCATAGCTTCTGAGATCTGATGCGAGTGGTCTTGCCGAAGCAGTCCAGGAGAGGGCCCTAACCTGCCTGGTTTAAACCTCGTAAGTGTTCCAAATTCTCAGGGACAATCCCCTCACATTCATTCCACTTTCAATATATTTTAATCAATATTTCTTGCACGGCTTGCAGTTTTCA